CTCCCATCTCCGTCCTCCCTCCTCCATCCTCCATCCTCCCTCCTCCTTCTCCTCCATCCTCCCTCCTCCCTCCTCCCTCCTCCTTCGCGCCCCATCCGCCCCCCTCCATCCCTCCCGCAGGCCCGCCAGGAGCGTGGTCCGCGACCGCGCCCCGCGGGGCGGCGATGAGCTGTACGCCCGCGGCCGCGGCCGGGAGTTCTCGCCGGTGTACTACCGCAGCCGCACGCCGCCGCCGCCGCCGCGAGGCCGCGGGCGCGCGGCGCGCCGCCCCTGCGGCCGAGGTTCGGGCTTGGGTGTGCAGGGTTCGGGTTTGCCTGAGCGGGCCCGGCATCCCTTCTTCCCGTCGCGCCAGGGTCTCTTCCTCTCCCCACGTGCACCGCGGCCCAGTTTGCATCTAGTAAGCCCCCCCCCCTGATGCCCGATCGCCGGAGCAGACACCCTCTGCCCAGCCGCCGACACGAAGAAGTGCGGGTTTCGGGTTCTACTGGCCACGCGCAGGGGGGGGAGGCTTCTAAGAAGCCTCGCCCCCTCCCCCTACCCCCTTCCGCGCGTGGCCGATTGATTCTGGGGGGGGTTCTAGGGGGGTGCGAGGTTGCGAGGTTTCTGAGAGGGGGGCGGCAGGCGCGGGTTGAGTGGGGGTTCGAGATTCGCGTTTTTTTTTGTTTTTCGTATGTTCTCGTCGGTTTTCCAGCTTCGGGGCGCTCTGCGGCAGCTACGCCTCGCCGATAGCGTTCCAGGGGTGCCCAGATAAGAAAGAGCGCGTTCTGTGGTTGCTTGGAGGAGGGGGGGGGAGGTTGGAACCGGACCTCATCCCCCCCTGGATGGAGGGGGCGGGGGGGGGTTCGAACCCCCCCTCCCCTCCCGTGACGGAGGGGGGGGTTCAACCTTCCCCCCCTCCCGTGACGGGGGGGGGGTCCCCCCCCCCTGCTTCCCCTCTCCTCGGGCCGGCGCCGCTTGCGTCGGCGGCTGGCGACGGCGGCGGGGACGACGATTTCCATTCCTGGGCCGGCGCCGGCCCGCGCCTGCGGCGGCGGGCGGCGGTGGCGGGGAGCGTCGACGAGGACGACGGTGGTGGTGGTGGTGGTGGTGGGTTGTGTTGGTGGTGGTAGCGGTGGTGGTGGGTGTGGTGGTGGTGGTGTGGTGGTTTGTTGTGGTGGTGGTGGTTGTGGCGGTGAGTGTTGTTGTTGTTGGTGGTGGTGGTTTGGTGGTGATGTGGTGGTGGTTTGTGGTGGTGGTGGTGTCGGTGGGTTGTGGTGGTGGTGGTGGTTTGGTCGTGGTGTGGTGGTGGTTTGTGGTGGTTTGGTGGTGGTGTGGTGGTGGTTTGTGGTGGTGGTGGTGGTGGTGGTGGTTTGCGGTGGTGGTGGTGGTGGGTTGTGGTTGTGGCGGTGGTTTGTGGAGGTGGTGCTGGTGGTGGTGTGGTGTGGGGTGGTGGTGGTGGCGTGGTGGTTTGTGGTGGTGGTGGTGGGTTGTGCTGCTGGTAGTGGTGGCGGTTGTGGCGGTGGTGGTGGTGTGGTAGATTGTGGTGGTGGTGGTGGGTTTTTGTGGTAGTGGTGGTGGTGGTGGTGGTGAGTTGTGGTGGCGGTGGTGGCTGTGGTGGTGTGGTGGTTTGTGGTGGTTTGTGGTGGTGGTGGTGGGTTGTGGTGATGGCGGTGGTTTGTGGACGTTTGTTGTGGTTGTGGTGGTGGCGGTGGTGGTGGTGGTGTGGTGGTTTGTGGTGGTGGTGGGTTGTGCTGCTGGTAGTGGTTGTGGCGGTGGTGGTGGTGGTGGTGTGGTAGATTGTGGTGGTGGTGGTAGTGGTGGTTGATTTTTCCCCATATCCTAAGATGGGGTATTGTTATTACTTGGACGCCTCCTACTCCCTCTCCCCCCTCCTCTTTCCTCCTCCCCTCCTCCTCTTTCTTCATACTCAGACCTACTCATACTCAGACTTACTCATACTCAGACTTACTCATACTCAGACCTGCTCATACTCAGACTTACTCACACTCATACATACTCATACACAGACTTTCTGATACACAGACTTACTCACACCCAGACGTACTCATACACAGACTTACTCATACCCAGACTTACACATACACAGTATTACTCATACTCAGACTTACTCATACCCAGACGTACACATACACAGACTTTCTGATACACAGACCTACTCATACCCAGACTTACTCATACACAGACTTACTCATACACAGACTTACTCATACCCAGGCATAGTCATACTCAGACCTCCTCATACTCAGACTTACTCAACATACATCAGATTTGGAGGATGTCTCAAGCGGGGCGCTGGTTTCAGCACCCCTAAAGGGAGCCGCCAGGGGCGTTTGCACGGCTCGTTCGCGGCCATTTTGTGGGGATGTCTCAGGCGGTTTGCTTGTTTCTGGGCTCAACATCCTTCGCTTGGAGAGCAGATTGTGAGGATGTCTCAGGCGGGGCGCTGGTTTCAGCACCCCTAAGGGGAGCCGCCAGGGGTGTTTGCACGGGCTCGTTCGCGGCCATTTTGTGGGGATGTCTCAGGCGGTTTGCTTGTTTCTGGGCTCAACATCCTTCGCTTGGAGAGCAGATTGTGAGGATGTCTCAGGCGGGGCGCTGGTTTCAGCACCCCTAAGGGGAGCCGCCAGGGGTGGTTGCACGGGCTCGTTCGCGGCCATTTTGTGGGGATGTCTCAGGCGGTTTGCTTGTTTCTGGGCTCAACATCCTTCGCTTGGAGAGCAGATTGTGAGGATGTCTCAGGCGGGGCGCTGGTTTCAGCACCCCTAAGGGGAGCCGCCAGGGGTGGTTGCACGGGCTCGTTCGCGGCCATTTTGTGGGGATGTCTCAGGCGGTTTGCTTGTTTCAACATCCTTCGCTTGGAGAGCAGATTGTGAGGATGTCTCAGGCGGTTTCAGCACCCCTAAGGGGAGCCGCCAGGGGTGTTGCACGGGCTCGTTCGCGGCCATTTTGTGGGGATGTCTCAGGCGGTTTGCCTGTTTCTGTCAACATCCTTCGCTTGGAGAGCAGATTGTGAGGATGTCTCAGGCGGGGCGCTGGTTTCAGCACCCCTAAGGGGAGCCGCCAGGGGTGGTTGCACGGGCTCGTTCGCGGCCATTTTGTGGGGATGTCTCAGGCGGTTTGCTTGTTTCTGGGCTCAACATCCTTCGCTTGGAGAGCAGATTGTGAGGATGTCTCAGGCGGGGCGCTGGTTTCAGCACCCCTAAGGGGAGCCGCCAGGGGTGTTTGCACGGGCTCGTTCGCGGCCATTTTGTGGGGATGTCTCAGGCGGTTTGCTTGTTTCTGGGCTCAACATCCTTCGCTTGGAGAGCAGATTGTGAGGATGTCTCAGGCGGGGCGCTGGTTTCAGCACCCCTAAGGGGAGCCGCCAGGGGTGGTTGCACGGGCTCGTTCGCGGTCCGTTTGTGGGGATGTCTCAGGCGGTTTGCTCGTTTTCATGCCCAACATCGCCGGCGGGGCTGCGCCTCCAAAAGTGGTGAAACGCGCCCTGGGGAACCAGGGCTGAGGAGGAAGAGGGGGAGGAAGAGGAGAAGGAGGAGGAGGAGGAGGACTGGGGGAGGAAGCAAGGGGATCAGGACGATGAGGTGAAGGATGACGACAAGGATGAGGAGGATGATGTCTAAGATATTGAGGACGAGGAGGAGGATGGCGTGAGCGAGGGAAATGACAGGAACGAGGATGAGGAGGAGGAACAGGAGGAGGAGGAGGAGGAGGAGGAGGAGGCGGGGGATCGTGAGGAAGTGCCCGAGTGCGGACGGCGCGGGCGAATAACCTCTGCTGCGGTTGCCCGATGGCATTCGTTTTCTCCTTGCGCTTCCATGTACATGTAGCGCATATCCAATGCCACCGGCAGAAGCCCAGTGTGGACGGCGTTGGTATTGACATGTTTGAACTCCCCTTGGTTTCCATTAGCATGGAGTTTCTTGTCCATGCCGGCGTTCGAAACCCAGTGTGAACGGCGCGGGCGGTGACTTTTGCAAAACATGTTTGCGCCCGAGGTTGAGACCCGATGCGAAGTGCGGACGGTTAAAGCTGGGTACAGGTGAGGAGGGGGGATGAAGAGGAAGAGGCTCGCATTCAACCATACTCAAAGCTCATTCTGACTCATACGCAATCACTCGCATTAGGGGTCAATCGTCTTCGTCGGCCCTGTCGCCCACGTGGACGCGCTATTGTAGTCGACCGCTCATGAACAGACGCTCACCACGGCATGACATAAAACATGAGATGCACATATGGGGAGCTCCACGCAGTGAGTAATTGTGGTGGCGGTGGTCGTGATGGTGAATTGTGGTGGTGGTGGTGGTGGTGGTGGGTTGAGGCGGTGGTGTTGGTGGTAGTAGTGGTGGTGGTGGTGGTAGTGGTGGTGGTAGTGGTGGTAATCGTCGCTGCGTCCCCGCCGTCGCTGGCGCCAGCGCCGGCGCTGCTGGCCGGCGCCAGCGCCGGCGCCGGCGCGAGGGGGGAGGGGGGGCCCACGGCGGCGCCGAGGGGGGGGGGGTTTGAACCCCCCCCCCTGGAAGGGTGTGGGGAGGGTTTGACCCCCCCCTTCCCTTGGGAGGGGGGGGGTTCGGGAGGGGGGGGGTTTTGGGGGGAGGGGAGTCCCCTTGGTTTTGATCGATGGCGCCGAGTGTTGGGGGGGGGCCCACCCCTCGGTTTGAAACGCGCCGCCGAATGGTTCCAAGGAAGCGCCCGTGAAACGCGTTCTCTCCCAGATAAGGACACAAATTTCGGACGGCGGTGGTTCTTCGTTTCGGCTTCTGAAGCCCGTCATCGGGCCCTGGGATCTTCAGAGTCGGATCTGGGGCGAAAAACCCACCCAGATCTTTGTTCTTTCATTAGTTGAACCCGTAACGTCCGTTACGGGGGGGCCCCCCTCCGCCCCCTTCGCAACGGCAGCGAACGTACGGGGAGGGGGTCCCGAGTCCCGGCCCCACCACACCAATGACGCTGTGCTCACGGACATGGTGCGGTGCTGACAGGCACCGGGGAGCCTCCAGACGCCTCCAGCGACGCCGCCGTCGTCGTCGTCGTCGCCGTCGTCGTCGTCGTCGTCGTCGTCGTCCTCGTTGTCGTGGTCGTCGTCATCGTTATCCTTGTCTTCGTCGTCGACGTCGACGTCGACGTCGCCGTCGTTGGCGTCGTCGACGTCGACGGCGTCGTCGACGTCGTCGTCATCCTGGTCGTCGTCCTGGTCGTCGTCGTCGCCGTCGTCGTCGTCGTAGTCGTCCTCGTTTTCGTCGTCATCGTTATCCTTGTCCTCATCCTCGTCGTCGTTGTTATCGTCGTTATCGCCGTCGCCGTCGGCGGCGACGACGACGACGACGGCGGCGGCGACGCCGTCGACGACGAAGAGGACGGCGGCGGTGCCGACGGCGGCGAGCCGCCCGCCGACGACGACGATGACGACGACGACGACGACGACGACGACGGCGACGACGACGACGACGACGACGACGACGACGATGACGGCGACGACGACGACGACGACGACGACGACGACGACGACGATGGCGGCGACGACGACGACGACGGCGGCGGCGGCGGCGGCTGCGGTGTCGACAGCGACTGCGACGACGTTGTCGACGACGAAGACGGCGGCGTTGGTGGCGACGGCGGCGAGCCGCCCGCCGCCCCCCGCAGGCGGGGCTCGCTCGCCTCCGCCGCGGCGCAGGCCCCCCTCGCCGCCGCCGAGGCGCGGCGACCCGCCCGCGCGCCGCCGGTCGCCGCCCCCCGCCGGGGTGCGAGGTTCGAGCAGCCCTCGTCGGCGACGGACGTGGTTCAGGAGGGAAAAACACACAGACACAATTCATCGTCGATTCCCCCTTAGAAATAGAAAATCTGGGAAAACATGGGAAGTGGGGGGGAGACACAAACCCAGAAGAGATGGGAGAATATGCGGAATCCTTTTGTTAATGTGTATTTATTTGTGTGTCTCAGGGCCCCTTCAGTGGCGGGGGGGGGCGGCGCGTGCTACCGAGACTCCCTCGCGCTGGGAGCAGGGTCGCGGCGGACGGTGTTGCGTTCTCCTCGGCCTCCCAGGGCCCCCGCTGGGCCTCGGGGCCGTCCAAGAAATGATTCTGGATGAGAAGCCGCGGTGCCCGGGAAGGGGTCCAGACTCCTAATTAGGGGCCCCGTCATGAAAAATCACAGCGTCGGGGGTCTGGGTATCCAGACCCCTTCGGCGGGCGGCGGGACTTCTCAGGAGCCCTCGCGCCTTCTGAGAAGTCTTCTGTGCCTTCGGGGGAGGCTCATGAAGTTTCCCAGAAGGCCGGGGGAATTCCGAGCCTTCTTAGAAGGCCTTCACGTCCCCCCCGGGCGCGCCGCCGAGGGGTACGAAAAGAATGGGCACAGAGACCGACAGCAATTCCGTTTCGTTTTGAGCAGGACTCGCATTCGAGACAGAGCGTCGCATGTTCAGGAGTGGCGGCTGTCGGTTTGGGGCAACATTCGTTGTTGGGCATTGTGCTCATTTTCCGTTCTTGCCAATTTCGGGTGCCCAAACTATCGGAAAACAAAACACGGCGCGGGGCTGGATAATAGTTCGAGGAAGAGGAAGGTGATAAGAAGTGTTCGAGGGGTTCCTCCGAGAAGAGACAGCGGCATGAACATTTACTGTCGGAGCTCCTCGGGGACGTCTTGGGTCGCTGCTGGGGCCCCCCTGGCGGCGCCCCGCCCGCGCGCCGCCGATCGCCGCCCGCGTGAGGTGCGAGGCTCGAGCACAGTCAAAGCTCAGCGAGCGAAGAACGGTATAACATAAACTTTTTCGCCGTCGGGGACACCTGCCCCTGGGCGGCTGGAAAGTTTATACCCCTACTGTGCCACCGTAAGGGTATAAACATTCTAGTCGCCCTTGGGCAGGTGTCCCCGACGGCGAAAAAGTTTATGTTATACCGTTCTTCGCCCGTTAAAAAGCGCACAGCTCTCCAAGGTTACCCTTGCATCCTTCCCCTTCGGCTCATCCTCGGCCGCTTTCGCTGGCCGCGCCCCTCTCGAACGGTGCCGGCATGGCCTTCCAAGGCCCTTGCATCCTGAATCGTGCGCCCGTATTATACGCCTCGACCGCAGCGTTGGCCCTGGAGCCCGAAGTTAGAGGGAGGACGCCCCCCCCCCCGTCCTCTCTTTGGGGGAGGGGTAACAGCGCTCCCTCCCGGCGGCGAAATATTTGTAAATCTTCCCCCCTTCGGCATGGTGACCCCCAGCCTGCGCTTCAGTGCGTGGTGCCTGTTATGATTCGCGTGGTGTGGGGACAGCTTGGCTCCGGCTAGCTTGGGCCGCTCAAGCATGCATCATGATTGTCCGCAGCGGCTTCTTCTGGTTCCTGGGATCACATGATGTTGCTCGCCGCTTTCGGTGCACGTGAGAGTGGCCCATTCGCCGGGAGTTCTGACGCTTTCGGACGCTCTCGTCGGTCCCTGGAGGTCTTCCCGCCTCTGGACGGTTTCCAGCAGCTGCGCCTCGATTCAAGGGGTATCCCAGTCGTCCCGAACGGCCGTTGGAGTCCCGAGTCATGACCCGACGGCCGAGTTCGAAGATGTAAAAATTGCATAACCATAAAACCTTTGGCGGTCCGCGCAGATCCGAGAAGTCTGCGCGGACCGCCACAAGTTTATGTTTATGCGTTTGCTTTGTTTCTCTACGAGTGGGCCTTCGCCCGAGTGACCTCTGGCGCGCTGGCTTTCGGGGTGCGGATGTCGGGGGCGCGGGTGGCAAACCCGAGCGCACGCAGGCCTACACGGTCAGGCTTGAATAAGGAACACTCAAAAGGGGCTCCGTCGTTCCTCGGGTTTGCAAGCGTTCCACTACCATTTTGGCGGCGAGCCCCCTTGGTGTTCCTTTGGACCTCCTAGAGTTACCTGGAAAAAAAAGGGCCTTCGTTCCTCATTTATCGTTCATTAGGTCCGGCCGACTACTGTAGATTGTCGCACCGCGTGCGTCGATCCGCCAGATCCGCGCATTACCAGGGGTCGCACCTGCCCGCTTGCCACCGGGGCCACTCCGAGGGTGCCCTTGCAGTGCTCCTTGGTCTCTGGGGGCCCCCGTCGGGGCACGGGGCCGCCAAGACGTGCCCGGGACGAAGAGGCCCCAGCGCAGCTCGTCGCCGTCGCCGCCGCCGCCGCCGCCGTCGCCGCCGCCGCCGCCGTCGTCGTCGTCGTCGTCGTCGTCGTCGTCGTCGTCGTCGTCGTCGTCGTCGTCGGCGTCGGCGTTGTTGTCGTCGTCTTCGTCGGCGTTGTCGTCGTCGTCGTCGTCGTCGTCGTCGTCGTCGTCGTCGTCGTCGTCAGCGTCTTCCCGTTCCCTCCGGGGCAGCACTGGTGGGGGCGCACGGGCGGCGTGGCGCCATGCGCTCTCCGCGCGTCTCGCCCCCTGTGCTGCGTGCGGCCCGCCCACGCCAAAACCTCCATCCACCATGAGTTTGAGGGGGAAGTAGGAGGAGGAGGAGGAGGAGGAGGAGGACGAAGAGGAGGAGGAGGAGGAGGAGGAGGAGGAGGACGACGACGACGAAGAGGAGGAGGAGGAGGAGGAGGAGGACCCCCTCCCCCTCCAACTTGTGGTGGTGGTTGTGGTGGAAAACAGGCCCATCACATCCGACTCCCCGATTCGATGTTGTCTGATCCTGGCCCCTCGGCCCTCTCGTCTGGATCTTCCGAACACTTTTTCTCTCACCATGTACGCTGTGGATGTAATCCGCCTACTCCGCATACCCCCTCCCCCGCGGCGTGCCCTCCCCCCTGCCGTGAATGCCTGGCTCACGCCGCTGGCCGCCCAGAGCTCAAGCCCAGTTTTCCCTCGTGGAGCGCGGGGTGCGCTCCGCCGGCGTCTGGATCTTCTGTTCAGGAGAGGAAATACCGATACCGGGTGCAGCAAGCCAGAGAGGTCGAAACCCTCAAGCCTCAGCATGTGCCTAGGCCCACGCCGGCAGCTTGCTTGATGGCGCGCAAGCCTAAACCATATTGGCTCCTTTCCGTAGCCCTTTGTCTACTCGAATGCCTTTTCATCTCGATCTGGAAAGCTCACTGGCCCACCTGTGAGCAAGCCACCTGGCCGGAAGCGCAGGAGCAGCAATGGCCAGCTCTCTGGAAAGCCGGAACCGCGGCATGCCCCAGGCGCGCGCCGACAGCGCGCCAGCGCCACAGCGGAGAGCGCCAGCCAGAAGCAACGCGCCGCCGTCCCATCAGAGGCCGCCACCACGCTGCCCAGCCCGACCGAACAGCACGAAGGCGCCATGCCCCAGCGACACACCACCACGCGGAAGCGTGGCAACGGGAAGCTCACCAACGGCCGCCGAAAGCGTCACGCCCCAGCGACCCACCACCACGGAGTGGCAACGGGAAGCTGCTCAGCAACGGCTGGCCCGTGCCGTGAGGCACAGACGAGGCAGAAGGCGCCGCCGCCACAGGTGTCGACGGGCCCGGGAGCCGCCCACAGCCAACCACACCGCTGCCGAGCCCTGCCGAGGCGCCAGGAGCCGTCGCGGGCGCCGCTGCCCAGAAGGCCGGCGCCCGCCACTCCATCGCCGCCGGCGGCCGCCCTCGTGCAGCCCTCCCGCTCCCGCCTGGCAGGCCCCCTCGCCGGCGCGCCGCCAGCGTCTCTCACGACCTGGAGCTTGGTTCACCACTGGGCCAGCCGAGGCGCGCCGCCACCGGCAGCGGCACGGCCCCAGGGCCCGCCGGCGCGCGCGGAACGCGCACGTTTGAGCCAAAAATGGCCTGAGCCAAGACAATCGCTACGGCGCCCTTCAACCGTCGCCACGGCTGGAGTCGCCTCGACGTCCTGATCGGGAAGTTCTCCAGGAGAGGGCCGTGGAGTAGCGGCAGCGGTATATGTCTATACCCCTTCATAGGTTCAACACAGTCAGGCCGCATCGTGAGGATGAGTCGCGTTCCAAGGGTTCGCTTGCATCCTTGCTTCTCGGCCGATCTTAGACCTTAACCATGGGCCATGGGCTTCCAAATTCGGCTTGAGTTTGGGTGTTCAAGGGTCTTGCATCCTGACCGCGTCCTTCTGATCTAGTCGTACTGATCGTCAGGCCTCTTGACAGCCTCAGTGGACCGGCTTTCTCATGCAGGGCATTTCCGTTATGGCCCTTACTGGAGTCCGGAAGCTGTTGTCTGGACTCCGAGACTTTCGAACAGCATCCGCCTCGATGTGCGCCGGATGTCTGGGATAGATAGCCCAGTCCAGCCTGTTTTCCTGGCGTGCTCCAGACAGGCCTAGGATGAGGACAGATCGCTCCATAGCGTTCCAGGGAGGAGGATGAGGAGGAGGAGGAGGAGGAGGAGGAGGAGGAGGAGGAGGAGGAGGAGGAGGAGGAGGAGCAGGACGCCCTCAGAGCGTTCCAGAGCGCTCTGGAAGGGCCGCGGCGCCCGACACATCCTCCAGACCCACTGGCCTTCAGAGATCCCCGATGGTCACAGTCCTGATTAGGCCTCCTCTTGCCTCGCCTTTTGCCCAGACATCCGGCGCCACGATTCGTTTTTTATGCATGGGCCCATTTACGGGCGGCCCGGATTAGTAGGTCGACCCTGCCAGACCAAGGGTTCCCTCGTGTCCTGTGTCTTGCGACCCATGCCTCCTGCATTTCTGTACGTGGCCCTCGGAAGGGTCTCGTGTCCTCTCGCGTGTCCTCTCCAATCAAGGCCGCCTGTACTCATCGACCACCTCCCTGCAGGGCTGGCTTTTCAGCCTCAGGGGCCCTCTAAAGGGGCCCTCAAGGGGCCCAGAGCGGGTACGAAGAGGTGCACGCTCCTTCGCCCCTCCTGTGGAGCAGCGCCCCAAGGGGGAGAGGCAGGCCAGGCAGACGACGAGCGAGCAGGCGGGAGGCCCGGGCTGGCGGGGCGCGGCGGGTGGGCGGCCAGGCGGGAGAGGGGCCGGACGAAGGCCCTCCTCCTCCTCCTCCTCCTCCTCCTCCTCCTCCTCCTCCTCCTCCTCCTCCTCCTCCTCCTCCTCCTCCTCCTCCTCCCCGCGGGCAGGGGGCCGAGGCCGGCAAGATCTGTTCGGTCCCAGCTTCTGTCGTGCTGGGCGCCGGCGGCTCGAGGCGGAGCGGGGCAGTCGGGCGGGATCTGCCGTTCCCCTCCCGGCCTGGCTGCTGCACGCGCGGGGGCAGGAGGGGGTGCCGTGGCCGTTGTGACTCAGGCCAGTCTGAAGAGGCTACGAGAAACTCGGAGCCTCCTCCTCCTCCTCCTCCTCCTCCTCCTCCTCCTCCTCCTCCTCCCCCTCCTCCTCCTCCTCCTCCTCCCCCTCCTCCTCCTCCCTCCTCCTCCCTCCTCCTCCTCCCTCCTCCTCCTCCCTGGATCTGCGCCCCCGCCCAGGTCGCCGAAAGCTCACCCTGCCGTGGCCGTTGTAACTCAGGCCAGTCTGAAGAGCCCAGGTCGCCGACAGCTCACCCAGAGCGCCTGAGAAAGCGGGCGATCCCGATCGCAGCCTTGAGATCGTCAGTTGTTGCAGTGTGCGGAGAAGAGGCCAGGAGATCACCGAGTGAGTCCGCATGCGAATCACGAGCTGAGCACGAGTATGGAGCCCAACGGCCTTCAGTGCAGCCGAGCTTCCATGAGAGGCTCACCACGCGCGAGAAGTGGGCCCGGATGTCTGGGGGGGGCGTTCTGGCCTGAAGTTCGAGGCGGATCCAGCCGTGGCCACGAGGGCGCCCCAGGAGGGCCAGAAAATTGCAAAAGCACCCAAAAGCCTTGATCGTCGATTGCTCCCTGTAGCGTTTCCCATGCTAGATCTTGCTGTCGCCTCAATGCTGGCTACGTTGTTTGGTCCAGACGGCCACGATCTTTTGCTGTAGAAGTTGCAGTGAGGTGCCCATGGACGTGCTCTCACCTCTGTCCCGGCACATTTTCACTAGCCGACCTTCTCCTCGACCCGCCTCTGCACCTTGGCTGCTATCAGGGTACCTTGCCGGGTTAACTATCATGTTCGAAACATCGAGGGTGCTTGGCTGGGCTGTAATTGGTAGGAGGCTGATCTTGTGGCGCTAGAGCATGCAGGGACGAATCGTTCCAGAGCGTTCCGGAACTCTCTCGGAGCGCTCTGGAGCGCTCTGGGGAGACCGCCGTGCCCGACACATCCTCCAGAGCCGCTGGATCTCAGAGATCCCCGATCTATCCCTGTCCGATGTTGCCCCTGCCCTGGCCTCGTCTTCGCTCTAACCCCTCCCAGGTTAGGTCCGAGCAGATGTCGTCGGAGGGTCGCATCGGAGTCGCGGCTCGATGTGCAGCCCGATGCTCTCCACGCCGAGGTGACCGATGCATCGCCGATGCATCGGCGATGCGTTGGCGATGCGGCGCGTTCCTCCGACCCCATCTACTCGGACCTCATCTAGGAGGCCTCCAGTAGCTCTGCGGGGGTGCTTTGCTCTCGCGCCCGCGAGAGAAGTAGCGGCCCGAGGCGTGCTCACCCGCCGCAGGCGCCGGTGGTTGCAAGCGTGTGCCAGCAAGCGCCGGCGTCTGGTAGTCGATGAAAATGCGCTGATCCAGCGTCGACGAGCAGCGGCTAGCATCGGCGTGCGCCGATTCCTGAGTCGCAGCAGCCCGCAAAGAGGCGCGGGAGGCTCCCATGATTTGCCCGCGCCCGCGAGAGAAGAAGAGCGCCCCGAGTGCCCGCGGAACGATCGAGGCACATTTCCTACCTCGTTTCCTGTACGCTTTGATCTTGCGCGCGGTGCCATTCGCCGGACAACAGAAACAGAAAGAGAGCAGAGCGCCTCGAGGCGTGCGCGCGTCGATTCGCAGCAGCCCGCAAGATGGCACGGGAGGCTCCCATGACCTGCCCGCGCCCGCGAGAGAAGCGCGCCCCGAGGCCAGACCCCCGACGTCATGAGTTTTTTTCAGCCGCGCGCAGAGGGGGGTGGGGGGAGGGGGGGGGCTTCTTAGAAGCACCCCTGCTTCTTAGAAGGCGCGGGCCTTCTCTATAGATGTGAGGCCGGCGCCTTCTAGGAAGAGGGTGCTTCTAAGAAGCCCTCCCCCCTCCCCCCACCCCCTGGTGCGCGCCGCCAATTTTTCATGAGGTGGGAGCACCAGAAATCTCGACGCATTCCCCGGGGCCGGTTTTTCATCCCGAGCCGTTTTTTCGACAATCCCGGGGCCCGCCGAGGGCCTCCATGAGCCCCAAAAAGAGCGACAAACTTCCCCCCCCAGACCCCCAGCGTCATGGTCTTTTCATGACGTCGACCTTCGAGGTCTGGACCCTTTCCCCAAGACCAGTTTTTCGTCCCGAGTCGCTTTTTGACGGCCCCCAGGCCCTGAAAGGGCCGCCGGAGGCCGAAAGTAGCGAAGAGCCTCCCGTCGTGATTGTGTTCCCCACGCGAGGAGGTCTGGGTCTGTCCTGGCTTTCCATGGCGTTGGATCTCTAATTACGCAGAACGCCCCGAGGCGTGCTCCCCCGCCGCGGGCGCCAGTGATCGAGAGCGTCCGCGCGGCCGTGCCAGCCCGGGCTCCGCCGGCTCCGCCGGCCCGCCGGCCGGCCGCCCCGGCGGCGGGCCGCGAGCCGTCGCTGGGCAGCTACTACTCGTACGGAGGGGGGGGCGGTCAGGGCAAAACGACGCGAAGATCGGGACAAAATCGGATCGGGATAACTCGAAATCTCTGAGAGTCGGCAGGTTTGGAGGATGTACTGGGCGCCGCGGCCGCTCCAGAGCGTTCCAGAACGCTCTGAGAACGCTCCGGAACGCTCTGGAGCGATTTATCCCGATCCTAGCCCTGTTTTAGGGGGCGGTCAGGGGCTCCGCGGCAGGCCCTGAGATTCTGGCGCTGCATTTTTGTTCCACATAACGGGCGTTGCCGCCCAGTTTCGGGTCCCGGGACCCTCACAGATCGATCCGGCTCGAGAAATGCCCCAATGAGATGGGGACCGTGGCTCCGGTGGTGATTTTCTGCGATGTCCCACTGTTGTTTCGCAACGTCGGATCTCAGGGTGGGTCGGCTACACGTAAGACCCAGTCCCCCTCGCGTCATGCAAGAATCAGGAAGGAATGTGCTTCGTTATTGTCGGCCTCTGGGGTCCCTCGCTGTGCGTTGGGACCGTTCCAAGACGACTCAGGATGAGACGCCCGTCCCAGGGAATGGGTCGAGGCCTCTGCTGGTCGTGGCCTCTGGGCGGCCAGGGGCTCCGGGGCAGGGGTCGACTGCACGTCCGAGTGACCTTTCTCGGGGAAGCGTAAGAGTTCGATTCCGCCAGAACTCGGGCTTGCTGGCGCTCTTTGACGAGCGCGCCCTGGGTTTTGACGGCCCAGTCAACGTGGGATGTCTGCAGCAGGAGCTCGCGTCAAATTTCAGACTGGGTCTCGTCATTCTCACGATGGCCTCGTCGGGCCGACCCGAGTCCCCCGAACCCGAGTCTTACGTTGCCCCGACAGGGGCTTTGGGGCGTGGGCCGACTACACGTACGAGTGACCCTCTGTCGAAGTGACCTCTGGTGCGGGCCCACCAGGGCCCCCCCGATCGCTGAGCGCGATGCGATGGACTTGGCCACCTCGCGCTCCGCTGAGGCGCGCACAAGAGGTTACTCTTGCCTAGGGGCATTCTTGCGTGCTCGAGTGGGGAGGAGAGATCGGAGAGCGTTTCCCAGACCTCCAGCGTCTCGAGAACCTCGAGGCGGAGGATCTTCGCAGTTTTCGGCCTCTGGGGGCCTATCGCAGAGCCCCAGGACCGTCAAAAAACGACTCGGGATGAAGAGCTAGCTTTGGGGAAGCGGTCCCGACCTCAAGAGACCCCGCATTGAGAAACTCGCGACATCGGATGTCTGGCTTTTTGGCTCCCTGGCGATCACGGTCGTGACTAGGGAGGGGGGGCACCAGTCACGTCACGGTTCGCGCCGTCGCCGTCTGAAAATGCTCAGGACTGGCGGTCCTTGAGGGCTTGACGACTGTTCGCCAATCTATGTGTAAGGGACAAGCCAGACGAATCAAGGCAAATGCAGATGAATCGAAGTAAATCCAAGTACATCTAGAAATCTCCAGGGAAGATTGGAGCAAGCATTGGCCGCTCCAGCGCGAGTCAAGGAACGGCAGAAGTAGATAAGCCCTGCACGACAGGGGCTCAGAGGCACGGGGGTTGATAGATTTTCCACCGTTTCCAGACGTCTTCCTACGTTTTCGATGTTTCGGGAAGTTTCAGACGCCCTGGGTGGTCTCCATCGGGTACGCCTCGGCAAGGGCGTTCCAGGGGTGCCGGGATCGTCCTGAGCGGCCGACAGTCGCGAGAGACGTGGAGTTAAACCAGACGACGACGATCATTGGGTTGATGGGCTCAGGTCGGCACGAACCACATTGGTACGGAAAGAATGGGTACGATGCCCAACAGCAGTTCCTGTTCATTTTGCACAGGATTCGCTGTCCGCGCCGCCACGGACGTTGCCCATTTCCTGCCCAACAGCGGCCGCTGTCAGTTTTGGACAACATTTGTCGTTGGGCGTCGTGTCCATTTGTTCCGTGCCCACTCTGGGCGTCCAAATCAAATCAGGGGGGAACGTATCGGCCCCCAATCTCGGGTCGGGTCGGAGGGATCGGGAAAGGGGTGGATTACCAAATTTGCTGCATGCAGCTGGTTTCGGTCCCGCCGAGGGGGGCCCCTTCCTCGATGCACGGCCGCCTCCGGCGCCAGGAGGCGCCAGGGAAAGCAGCCGCGTGAACTGATTCGCGAACCCCCCCTTTGCTATTCCCCCCTTTTCCTCCGGCCCGGCAATCGCCAGGGAGGGGGGGAGGGCGTTGGCCAGGAGGGAAAGAAACACAGACACAATTAATCGTCCACTCCCAGAAAATATGGGAAAATATGGGAAGTGGGGGGGAAAACAAAAACCTAGAAACTATGGGAAAATATGGGGCATCTTTTTATTTGTGTGTGTTTATGTGTGTGTGTGTTTGTGGGCCCCTTCAGTTGGCCCGGGTTGGCCCCGGACCTCCGCGCTGCGAGAGAAAAAACAAGCAGGGGCAGGGTGGTCTGGACCTCCACGGGCCCGCGCAGCAGGGAGCAAAGCGGCACGCCGTCGGAGGTCTGGGGCGGCCAGGGCAGGCGGCTGCAGACTATGTTTGGTCAGGCCCCATCGTTTCTGCTCGGTTTGGGTGGGGCCTGTTATTCGGGGTTGGACAGACCTCCTACCCTGACACGTCGACTGAGGAATTGGCCGTTTTCGGTTCGCGAGGGGGCGTCGCGGCCGTCATTCTTGCGGGTCCGGGTCCGTCGGTTTCGGTCCCAGGCGCCTTTCACTGAGGGGAGGTTTACGAAAGGCAGGTTTGTCCACCGCCGAGTTATCAGGCCCCGGGGCCATCGATTTCTAGTAGGGGGGGGGTCGGGAAACGTCGAGAAACCACGCGTGGAACCCGTACCCCCCCCCAACCCGAAATGCGGGCCTTCGGGTTGGGTTGGGGTGGTCTGGCAGGTAGTCAGGTTTGTCCACCGCCGAGTTATCAGGCCCCGGGGCCACCGAGAACGGATCGGGGGCGCAGAGCAGCCCCCGGGGAAGGGATCGGGAGCACGGGGCCGTGGAGTGGACGTTGTCTGGGACGGGGGGGAGGAGGAAGAAGAGGAGGAGGAGGAGGAGGAGGGGGAGGAAGAGGGGGAGGAGGAGGAGGAGGAGGAGGAGGAGGAGGAGGAGGAGGAGGAGGAGGAGGAGGAGGAGGAGGAGGAGGAGGAGGAGGATTTTGGCCCGGGGGGGGGTGGACGGGGGCGTCGACCCCCAACCATGGCTTCGTCGCCAGTCGGGGCTTGGGAGCCTCCCCCTGGAGGGCGGGGCTTCGCCATCGGGGACCCCTCGCTGATTTTGTAGCGGCGATGTATCGAGACAGCGCTTTTGAGTCGATTTCGGTATTCGACCCGAGCAGGCCGTCAACCTGCTCCAAAAAGTAGAGACGGCGCTTTGTGGTAGATTCTGCGTTCGACCCGGAAGGGCCGCCAGCCTGCTCCAAGTGATTGTTTGAAGAGCGTCGTGTGCGTGCTTGCTTGAAGAGCGTTGCGCAGTCGCGATCGGGAGCTCTACGAGGTCCCCTGAGGTGGCCTGGTTGCCGGTTTACCGCTGGCGTCCGATGTATGTGTTTCCCCCAAGCGACCTACGATGCCTGGATTTTTGGAATATTTGCGGGGCCCCCAGGACTCTGGACAATTTCCCTGGGACCGCTTTTTCGTGCCGCATCGTTTTTGATGTTCTTGGCGAGGTCTGGGATGAAGTAGAGGGGTCCTGAGGAAAGCGGATCCTTGTAGGTGTCCGCCGTTTTCCTGCTCCCAGTGCCCTCCTCAGGCCACGAGACCGTCAAGAACGGTTCAGAACGAAAAGGTCGTCTTGGGAAGCGGCAGCTTTTTTCGGCCAGGATCCGTTTTCTTCACGCCAATTCGGGGTTGCGCGAGCCCAAGTCCACCATGGCAGGGCTTAGAGTGGCACGCAGACAGCCCTCGGAGGAACGTAGACCGAGCTGCCCTCAACCAGCATTGAGAGGCGTCTCAGCCCCCTTACTAGTCAGCCCCTGCTCAGTCTCGCTGGCGTTGGTTTCCGCAAACGCTGATCGCCGCCACATGACACTACTATTAAGTCGGGCGTGCCCCACTACAGGAGGAATATTCCAAAATAGTTTTAAAAATCGTAAGGTGACGAGTTTTGTATTATTCTTGACTATTGAGGAGTATTTGTTTTGACTTTGATTTATTTTCGCCCCAAATCCGCCTGTAGCAGGGCATTCCCGACCTAACACTACCATACCCTGGTCGTCACCAGCGCCAGTTGCTTCTGCGTTCTTCCACTAGCCCGTGCCCGGGCCCAGTAGCTCATGTTACTACCGACGCAAGTGTTGCCCCCTGGCCCCGTCGGCATCAGGTGCACACACCACCGAGTTTCGCAAAACATGCTTCTGCGTGGCTGACACCACGGATGAGCGCAGAGCACGCGGTTGTAATTCTGCGCGTGTCCCATCTTGCGCGTACGCCTACGCCAGCCCAGGCCCGCATTCCTGGCTCTGACAAGCTTCTGTCTGCGCGCCCGTCCGCTTTCACGTGCTAAGCCGGCTCCGTGGCCACTCCGAGAGAATGCCTAACGAACAGACATCTATAAGTAGGAGATTCGGCATCATTACGTTCAGAGCAATCGCTTCTTCAGCGATGGCAGCCGAGCCGTCCCTGTGCACTCCCAGACTGAGCAGCGATCTCAATCTGAGCGGGCTCGGGCGTGCCAGAGAGCGCGCCTCACAGTTGCCACCGGAGGAGGATTCATCGGTAGCTCGGCAACGTCTAGTTCTACAGTTGCGATGTCCCAGCACGTCGCACTTGCGGCCCCCTGGTAGCCCCCGCGTCGGAGCAGTACTGACACTAGGGAATCGCAAGGCGGCACCAGGGAGTGAAGGAGCGCAGCTCGCTTTGAAGGCATTCCATCGGAGGAGCGTTCGAGCGCAGACTCGGGCAGAAGTTGGCAGAGAGAAGCCCGCACGAAGCCATGTACAACTCGGGTGTTGGCGGGGACCACGGGTTGACGAAACAAGGATGCGCTCTGTCGAAGACGGCTGCCCTTGAAGCACGCTGCCGTGCTCAGCTCTGAAAGTCGGGCGCTCCTCACGGACACAGTGGCTGGACCGCCCGTCCTGCTGCTGCTTCTCGAGTGGGTGTGTTCTGCTCGTCGTCTCGAGCTCCGCTCCGAGCGCGGCGCGATGTCGCGCCGAGCTCCTCCACCGCAGGCCAGGAGGACGAGCCAGGCAGCGGAACGAAGGGAAGCAGCAGCGGGAGCAGCAGGAGCCCAGAGTGGTCGAGGCCGTCGCGCTGCACGGGGCGAGTGCGCAGCCCGCCGCGTGCCGGGGACAGTGGCCCCGTCAGGTCTGGTGGCCTCCGCCGTACGGCTGACGTGTAGGTCCAGCTGCGCTTCAGATCGTTGCGTTCGGGTGCGGGGCGCCGCGGGGGTGTCAGCAGCACGCACCCCCCGAGTGATGTGCGAAAGTATGGAGCTCTCCTCACTTCCAGTGCGCGGCTCGCTGTACACGTGGTGCCCCGCGTCGTGAGTGGACGTGGCTTCTGCTTCCATGCGCCCGCCTCACGCGGGCCGAGTGTGCTTCCCCCCCCCCTTCCTGCCTGCTCCGAATTTCATAATAAGGAGGGGGGGCTGATTTGAGGGGGGTCTGATTCGCGCTGTCTTGGAGGGTCCCAGGGTCTGGGCAGAAGGCCGCCCCTGCATGGATGGTGTGAGAGGGGTCCCAAACGAGTGCTCGTCCGGGAGGGTCGCGACCCCCCCCCCCTCTTATAGGTACGAGAGGCGGAGCGCCTCGTGCGCTCCTCTGCGCCCTCGTCCGAGCAAGCCGCGCCACGTGGGCGGCAGAGGCAGCAGCGGCAAGGGAGAGAGAGAGAGAGAGAGAGACCCGGGGGGGCGCAGATGAGAGCCCGCCGCCGGTGCTGGGCGGACGGGGGCCGCCGGTGGAGCCGCCACGCAAGGCCGACGGCCGCGCACGGCACCCTGCCACGAGCCACGATGACGACGGCGGCGCCGACGACGACGACGACCACGGCCACGACCACGACGACGACGCCGACGACGAGGCCGACGACGACGACGAAAGACGACGGCCACGACCACGGCCACGGCTACGACCACCAGCCACGAAGACAGCGACGGCGACGGCCACGACGACGACGACGACGACGACCACGACCACGACGACGACGACGACGACGACGACGACGACGACGACCACGACCACGACCACGACCACGACCACGTCGACCACGAGAACGACGGCGACCACGACGACAGCGACGGCGGCAAGGACGACCGCGACCACCCGTCCTGCCTCCACCTCCCTCCCCTGCTCCTCCCTGGGCATGCCGCTGGCTCTGGCTGTCTTCCTTACTTGACCTGCCTCTTGACATTCCGGATAAGATTTTGACTTTCATCATCCTTGGGCTGCGCTGACCTCAGTCACACCGCCTCCGTTCGACGATCTCCGCCTGCCCCCTTCTTCCCATCGCTGCTTTTCACCCACCCCGCCTGGTCGTACGATCGGAACGGTCGAAAGGGGCACGGAACGATTGGGCACGAAGACCGACAGCGGTCCTTGTCCAATTTAAATAATATTCATTGTCGGTATCGTCAAGGACGCTGTCCATTTGAGATGGAAGGTCGCCTACCCTACAGCGGACGCTGTCGGTTTTATACAACATTCGTTTTTTGAGCATCGTATCCATTTTTCCGTACCCATTCCGCGCGCCTACATACAGCTCGTTGCCGCCTTGGCAGCAATTGTAGCCAGGGGGATCCGTCTCACCCGCGAAAAGCCATACAAAGTCTACGCTGTTCTTTCGACATCGACGTGTTGTCTTAGACTTGGAGTTTGCGCGGCCTGAATGGGACGCGGCGCACATCGCATCGCGAGACAAGTGCTGAAATTTTGTTATCGCTCCAGCGTGGCGCATACTATTTCTGAAGACCTAGGCGCGGCGTGCAGTCTTGGCTCGCCAGTTCGACGGCAGAGTGCCAAATGCCACTCTCGCAGATCTCGCTTGAAAGTTGCGCCCTTGCTTGGGCGTGTACCATGTTGTGCCCTCTCCGGTCCTGTCGGGAGCTTGTCTGCGCGCGAAGTGGCGTTGTGGTGTGCACCGTGCATGGGCTTAGTTGCCTCGATACGCCCGTTTCGATGCGCAGCACGTTCCGTGCTCGCAACGTCCCTGTCGATGCGTTGCGTTTTGGATCAACGTGTTGGCCCACGTTGCGGTCAGCGCTTCGCGTCAAACCCACGCTTTGAGTCCAGTTGAGCTCCGTATCAATAATTTCGCTACGTGTTGCGTGTTGCGTATCGGGGCGGCTAAGTGCACTGGTGCGCACAGAGTTCTGCTTCCGCCCGTGCGCAGCCCACGATCTTCTCTCGACGCGTCGTCGGCATTGGGGCCGCGCTCGCGAGCGCGTGCCATGCTCGAGGTGGTGGGCGCGTCGCTAGTCCCAACAGTGTTTTGTGCTGGCATTGATTGCGAAGGCCTTACGGCCGGTGCCGCCGACCCTGAATGGCGACGACGACGACGACGACGAGCGCTCTTGGGGGCCTCTTGGGGGTAGTTTGTGGGCCTCTTGGGGAGCTCTTAGGGGCCGCAGTGCTTTGTGCTGGCATTGATTCTTAGAGTCAAGACGCTGAGACGAGGACGACCGCTCTGGGCTCGGAAGGGTCGGGCGAACAGAACTATGCACATACACCGATTCTGGCCAGGCCCCTCCTGGGCCCAGGATCGGTGCATATGCTTTCCTGGCCAAGGCAGGGGGGCGTATGCACCGATCCTGGGCTCAGGATGGGCCTGGCCAGAATCGGTGTATGTGCACAGTTCTCTTTCCTCTGCAGGGGCCCGATGTTCCTGAGGTCCTCCCGTGGCTGTTCCTCTGGCCCTCCCCGTGCACGCAGGTGCTTCTGCTGCCAGAAGGGGGCTCCGATCCTCACGGTCGGCCCGAGGCATGAGATCGAGGTCGGTTCAGGGGGGTACCCCAGTGTTTTTCGTGCTCGTTGGAGGCTCTTGCGCATCCTGGGGAGGGTACCCCTGGATGGTCTGTGTGCTTTGGCCCGCGGAGGGTGTCGTGTTCTTGGGGGGTTTTCTTCTGTCCTGGGTCCGACCGTACAGTTCAACCCGCAGAGCAAGGATGAGCAACCTTCCCAAGGGTGCCCCTGCATCCTTGTCCTTGCCCCCTCGGTCCACACTTGGCCACCTGCGTTGGCCGCGCCCCCGCTCGAGAAGCTTCGCAGTGGGCGTCCGGGGCGCTTGCATCCTCATCGCGCACCCTTCTGACGCGGGCCGACTGTATCCGGCCCTCCTCCTTCCAGCAGCCCGACGGCATGCCACGAGAGCGCGGGTGCGCACAATACTTCTGTCCATATCCACTGCAGTATGGAGTTTCGGGCCCCCTTCCCCAGAAACCCGAGGCACACTGTATATGGACACATTTGCCCACCGTAGAGGCTAGGTTTTCATCCATATCCAGTGCGCCTCGGCCTTGAGGCGCTTCTCCCAGAAAAGTTCAAGACGCACTGGACATGGACATCAGTCTTGCCCGCAGCGGGGTGGGAGCGGGCGCGCGCCCCCGTGGTCCGTTCGGGCGGGCTCGCCCGACCCCGCCGCTCACGCTCCGACCCCCCGTGATAACTCCGCGCGCCCCCCCCGCCCTGCCCCCTCCCGCTTGCTGCCTGCCGCCCTGCCCCCCTCGGCATCGCTCGGACGTGCGCGCGAGGACCCTCGAGGGGAGCCTCCGGGGCCGCCCCGCGGGAACAAAAGTGCACGCGCGAGGCCTAAGCGTGCATGGGGGCATGGGCGTCCGAGCGGCGGCGAGCTCCGCGCACCCCGCCCTGCCCTGCCCCTCCCGCTCCCTGCCCTGCCCACCGCGCCTGCCTCCCGCCGCCCTGCCCGCTCTCCGCCCCGCCCCGCCCCCTCTCTTCCGAAGCCCGAGCACCATCACGTCACTAATTTGGGGCCCCAGGGCCCACTGAGGCCCCAGGGGCCCCAGCTTAGTGAAGTGATGTTTTTGTCCCACGTAAGGACCCCGAAATTCATCACTTCACTAAACCGAGCCTTGGACGAAAGTCAGAGGCCGAATTGCTGCTGTGATGCAACATCGGTCTCGTATCTCTGCCCGACGCAGCCTGCCCTGCCTGCCCCAGCTGCCCTCCCACGCTTGCTCTGTCCTGCCCCTCCTGCCGCGTGCCCGCGGTAAGTTCGCGTGGTGTCGACCGGCGGCGGCCCCGGTCGATGCTGAACGATCTGACGTTTCGGAGACGGCCGATCGTTCCTGGTTGAACGATCCCCGCGGTGTCAGAAACCAACGCCGGGTTCGTCGCGACACGAACCTGCCGTGCTGTCGACCCGCACAGTAAGGATGGGCAACCTTCCCAAGGGTACCCTTGCATCCTTGCCTCCTCGGCCCATCCTTGACCACTTTCGTTGGCCGCGCCCCGCTCGAACAGCTTCGAAGTGGGCGTCCAAGGCCCTTGCATCCTTATCGCGCATCCTTATGATACGGACCGACTGTACCCCTCTCCGGCCACCGATCCTCCTCAGCCCCGCGAGCCCACTCCTTACCCCTTTCGCGGCACGGCCGTGCTCGGCCCCCGACGCTTCACGTCCTCGTCCTGCCCGGGCCCGTCCCCGCCCCCGGCGACCCCTTTAAGGGGCCCTGGGAGAGTTCGCGAGGGGCGGCATGCGTCGCTCGGAGGCCCCCCAGCGGCGCGGTGACCACTCCTCCTCTCTCCTTCTCCTGCTCCTCCTCCTCCTCCTCCTCCTCCTCCTCATCCTCCTCCTCCTCCTCCTATTCCGACGCTGGGCCTCCTCCTCCTCCTCCTCCTCCTCGGAGGAGGAGGAGGAGGAGGAGACGACTACGGCCAGCTCCTCCAGCGTCCACCAGTGAGTGCACCCACTGGAGTCCACTGGAAAGCCAAGAGAAGCATTAGCGAGGTTTCTCGGAGTGCTACCTTTGGCAAGCTGGACGAGCCCACAGGCAGCCACGAAATGCATCAGCGGGGTATTCTCGGAATGCTACTCTAGGCAAACAGGATGGGCATCACGGAGTGCTCGCGCTGTCATCGTAATGGGATTTTTGTTGAGTGCCGACAGGTACATTACTGCAGGGTGTCGAAGGGGTAAAAAGTGATCACCACGAAATCCACCAGAGTGCTTCCTCGTTGGCCCCACATACTACATACCGTGAGTACCTGTATGCTCTACCCCACATACACTTCGAGGGGGATCGGTGGGACACTACAACAGGGCATCAGAGTACAGATGCGACAATGCATGGGGCAACTCTCGGCCAGACCGAGAAGTGAACCGAGCGGGAGAGGGGATTCTACAAGTAAAACAGTAAGGTAAGCATCCCCCCAGCAACAGTTTGGGGACACGGGCCTCCCGACCCTCCACCTCTCCTCCTTTTGAGTTGTCGTGTCGTCGTCTCCTCCCCCCTTGCTTGGGCGCAGTGATAAGCCCGCGCGTCCCCTCCCTAGGGCACGCGGAAGGGCCAGCAGCTGCTCCCCCCGCACTGACCCGCAGGGACTCGTGATCGCAAGGCCGCGAGCCTCTCTTACGGGGCCACCTCGGAGCCCAGTCCTTGAGCAACGTGGTATGCCCCCTGCCGGCCCTAGCGAGAAGGCAGGGCTGTTGCACAACCAATCGCAGGGGATTTTGGCAGTAGCGCGCAAGACACCAGCGCAGGTGTTTTGACGTCAAACCCCCTTATGCGGATGTCCTGTCCTGTCCTGTCCTGTCCTGTCCTGTCCTGTCCTCCTCTTCTTCCTCCTCCTCCTCCAACCTCCTCCTCCTCCTGATCCTCCTCCTCCTCCCCCCCTCCCCCTCCTCCCCCTCCTCCCCCTCCCCCTCCCTCCTCCTCCTCCTCCTCCTCCTCCTCCTCCTCCTTATCATCATCATCATCGTCAGCATCATCATCAGCATCACCATCATCATCATCATCATCATCATCATCATCATCATCATCAGCAGCAGCAGCATCACCATCATCAGCATCATCATCATCCTTATTTTCCTTCTCCTCCTCGTTTTTCCCCTCCTCCTCATCGTCATCCTCCTCCGCCGGATCCGGGGGTACCGCGCGGCTTTTGGCAGTCGGGCCGCTCTCGGAGGACGTCTCTTTGGCGGCCGCGGCCTCTGAGGCCACGGAACGGTGCGGTGACGGACCGCGCGGTGAGGTCTCGTGGGGGTTTCAAGGTCGCCGTTCTGTTTCGGGACCCCAAAGTCGCGAGGGGCGAAGAGTTTCGACTACGCGTAAGAGTGACCTGTCGCCAAAGAGATTTTTGGTGCGGGCCCACGGGGATCCCCGATCGCTGAAGGCGAAGCGGTAGCAGCAGCTTGCGCGCCCGGGTTTGGCCTTCCCGCGTCCCATGTTAAGTCGCGCACCACAGGTCCTTCTTGCCCAGGGTCACTCTTTACGAGTATCCGAGGGGTCGCACGTGGGGCTCCAGGGCTCGGGAGTCGGGATGCAAGTTCTGGGAAGATCAACTCATAATCGGCGCTTCTAGATCCCTGGCGAGAAACTGGCCTAATCTAGGATCCTCCCCCCGCTTGATCTGGCCTGCCATCCCGATTAACCCGGCTTGCTCCCGCTCGGTCCAGCTTACTCCCGGTCGTCATCCGGCCTCATCCCGCTCAGCAGACCTTGCATCGGGCGTCACTCCAGCGCCTCATCGTTCGGGCGGGGATTTCCCAGGAGCCGCCTCCGAGCGGAGGGGGCTCCTGCCAGGGGTCCCCACGGGGAAAGTGTGCACGGCGGCCGCCAGGCCCCCCAGCAGCAGGAGCGCGGAAAGAAAGGGTCCGCGCGGGATGGGGGGGGCGCCTGCACGGGGAGGGTTGACGAGGGTACGGGGGGCGCGGAGCAGGAGGGACAGGAGGCGGGAGCAGTAGAGGGGGCAGCCGCGACGCCGAGGAGGAAGAGGAGGAAGAGGAGGAGGAGGAGGAGGAGGAGGAGGAGGAGGAGGAGGAGGAGGAGGAGGAGGTGGTAGAAAAGGAGAAGGAAGAGGAAGAGGAGGAGGAGGAGGAGGAGGAGGAGGAGGAGGAGGAGGAGGTTGGAGGTTGGAGGAGGAGGAGGAGGAGGAGGAGGAGGAGGAGAGGAGGAGAGGAGGAGGAGGAGGAGAAGGAGGAGGAGGAGGAGGAGAAACAGGAGGAGGAGGAGGAGGAGGGGAGGAGGAGGAGGAGGAGGAGGGGGGGGGAGGGGGCAGCGGGATGGTCAGATGAGGAGGAGGCGGTGGAGGGGGCGCTGGAGTAGGAAGATCCAGGAGGAGGGCGGGGGAGGGAGGAGGGGAGGAGGAGGAGGAGGAGGAGGAGGAGGAGGAGGAGGAGGAGGAGGAGGAGGAGGAGGAGGAGGAGGAGGAGGGGGGGAGGAGGAGGAGGGGGAGGGGGGGGAGGGGGAGGGGGAGGGGGAGGAGGAGGGGGAGGGGGATAATGAAGAGGGGAAGGAGAGCGGGGAGGCGGTGGTACGTCTTGCTGCCGACATCGCCACAGGTCCTGGGGGGCGGGGGGGGCCACAGGGCCAAAAAGAAACGCACAAAGGCCTGCCGGCAATTGCCTGGATCCCTGCCCTCTCGATCCTCGAGGGCGGAGGGCAATACTCGGGAGCAGCAGCAGCAGCAGCAGCAGCAGCAGCAGCAGCAGCAGCAGCAGCAGCAGCAGGGCGAGGTGCAGGAGAAGGAGACAGGCCTCCGGTGTCGTGCTTCTTTCCCAGCGTGGACCCCCAGAGGCACCCCGAGTCGCTGCTCGACGGCCCCTGTGGGGCCCTGCAGGAGCCCGCAGAGGCCCACCCTCGAGGCAGAGCTCGTCGCGGCGCGAGGACGTCCGAGGAGGGGGCGACGGCGCGAGGAGGAGGGAGGGCAAGGAGCAGCATCAGGGCATCGGCTGCTCGCAGGAGCGACCCTTCGCCGCAGCGGGTTTCGGTGCGGGCCCAGTGGGGCGCCCCCATCGCTGCATGTCAGTGCGGTGGCAGCAGCTTGCGCGCCTCGGTCTGGCCTCTCCCCGGTCCCCTCCTCAAGCTGCGCACCAAGGTCATTCTTGCCTACCCTGCGTTCGGTGATAAGCGTTGGGGCGGGGGCGCCACCCCCGCCGACAGCCCCAAGTCGACCCCCGCCGCGGGCAAACGCTGCCTCGCCAAACTGACCTCCTCCCCCCCCCCCGAGGTGCGCCAACGGGGCGAGTCTGACCTCCGTCGAGCCGCGCGGACAGGTTGACGTTGACCCCCGTCGGCGGTGGGCCCCCCCACACTTACGACCCAACGCGGAGTCGGGTCGCTCCTGCGTGCAGCCGGAGGGCGAGGTGCCCTTGAGGGCCCGCCGCCGAGGCGCTGCCGCCGCCGCCCAGGCGCCCGGAGAGCCCCCCGCACGCCCGGGCGCCCGCGGACCGCTACGAGGACCGGGCGCCGCGGCGTGCCTCCCCGACGGACGGGCGACGCAGGAAACTCAGGAGGGAGAAAAAGCACAGAGACACAATTACAGTAATCGTCGATTCTCCCGAAAGTATGGGAAAATATATGGAAGTGGGGGGGGGAAGAAGCACTGAAAGTATAGGAAAAAATGGGGAGGTCGGTGATTTGTGTGTATTCATTTGTGTGTCCCAGAGCCCCTCGAGTATTGATTTCTGTGTCCCGGAGCCCCATCCAGAAGAGGACGGGCGACGAACACTCCAGGCCTCCGAGCTGGGGCCGGAGGAGATGGGCTCGGAGGATCGCGCCGCAGCGCCGCTGCATCGCCGATGCGGCTCGATGTGGAGCCCGACTTGCTTCACGTCGACTCGGGCCGGACGAAAGGGGGGGATTGGGAAAGGGGGGGGGGTTTCGAAATCTGCTGCATGCAGCTGGTTTCGGCCCCACCGAGGGGCCCATTCCTCGATACATAGCCGCTTCCGGCGCCGGGAGGCGCCGGGAAAATCAGCTACGTGAGCTGATTCTCAAACCCCCCCTTTGCTATCCCCCCCTTTCGCCCGACCCGATCGACGTCGCCCATGCGTCGCCGACGTCGACAATGCGTCGCCGGTGCATGCCCGATGCATCGGTGATGTGGCGCGATCCTCCGACCCCAACCTGCTCCGACCCCATCTGGGAGGCCTCTAGACGCACACACCCATACCCCGAGGGGGGATCGGAGGGAGGAGGGTTGGCCATGGGTACGGGTGCGGGTTGTCGGACCCCGGGGGGGGCTCCCGTTCGGGCGGGGGTCCCAGTGCGACAGCACGGCCCCGTGGCCCCCTCCGTCGCCCCCATGGGGACGGATGTGTGCGCTGTTCGCTCGTCAGAAAACGGCTTCGGCCGTGCCGACTCTCGCGCGCAAGCTGCCCGCGTAGGCACGCGCGGGAGCGCCCACGTTTCCGATATGAAGCGTGCCGCGCTGGCGGCCCGCGCAAGTTGCGGCGTAAAGTCGCCATGCCACCTCGCGTGAGACCCGGTTCTGATCGTCGCTCAGGTGAGGCGCTCTGGACAGCTTTTCTGATGGGCCTGTTTTCCACCACCACCACCCCCACCACCACCACCACCACCATTTGTTGGAGGGGGAGGGGGTCCTCCTCCTCCTCCTCCTCCTCCTCCTCCTCCTCCTCCTCTTCGCCCTCCTCATCCTCCTCGTCCTCCACCTCCTCCCCCCTCCAACTTAAATGATGGTGGTGGTGGAAAACAGGCCCATCAACTTCAACGAGCACCCGATCCTCATCTCGGGCGATCGGTGGAAGGCGGCGGAAGTGAAACGAGGCCGCCTCCGCCGGCGGAAGGCCAGCGGAAGCCGGCAGAAGTAAACATCGGCCTCCCAAGAGATGGCAACATATTTCTGGGTTCAGGGCTTTGGGAACCCGCCACACGTCTCGGCCAGCAGTCAGGATGCCAGGAAGTTGGATACACATGACGTGGCCAGCCTTGGTGAGAGCTGGATACGCCTGTGGCCACATGTCCTTCCGAAGCTCGGCCCTCGTGTAGCCAGGCGCGGTGGTTCTCCACATGTGTATCCCAGCAGGTGGCCTCCAGATGTTCCACATGCAAAGTCAGCCGCGTATGCTTCCTGCTTCCTGGTACGCATGAAAGCGTTGAGCCTAACCATTGTGATGGGAGGATATGGGGAGGCTCAAGGCTCGCAACGGCAGAAAACTTCGAGGGAGGCCGGGAGACGATACTATCGGCCATGTGTTTGCATCGCGCCGATTTGGCGGTCCCTCTTCCGCCACGCGCAGCGTGCCCTATGCTGACCAGCCTGCCAGGCGGCGCACCAGGTCCCAGACCGCAGGCCATCTCAATTTTTGAATCTGGCTGCGTTCTTCCGTGATGTCGTCCCCCGGGGTCATTAGAAATGGATCCAGAGCGGAACAAGCTGCTTCCGGGAGGAGGTGCCGGGACCTCCTTGCGGCCACGGATTGAACAGCTGATCCGGGGCCCAGGAGAAGCTTCTTCTCCATCCTCTCCGCCAGGGATCGAGGAGGAGGAGGAGGAGGAGGAGGAGGAGGAGGAGGAGGAGGACGAGGGAGGGGGCGAGGGAGGGGGCGAGGGAGGAGGCGGGTGACGACCAGGGGCAATGCCCCGCCCCCCGGGGGCAGGCCTGGCTCCGCCCCGCGCGCTCGGCCTTTTTGGGGGGTGCGCGGGCCACGCCCCCGGCGCTCGGCACTCCGAGCGCGTGGCGACGCGGCTCGCCCGGGAGGGCGGCGGAGACGAGCGGCTGCGCGCAGGCGCGGGAGTGGCCCTTCACCTGAGGAACGCTCCCAGACATGATGGCGTCGTAAAAAAATCAGGACGGCAGGTTTTTCCCTATTTTCGGCCCCTGGGGGCCCTCGCCGGGCCTCGGGACCGTCAAAAAACGACTCAGGACGAACAACCGGCCCCAGGGAAAGAAAGGGTCTAGATTTCCAGGGGCGCCGTCCTGAAAAAAACAGTACGTCGCATGTCTGGGCTTGGAGGACCTCTGGTGCGGGACCATTCGGGCCCCTCCCGGCACTGGCAGGGCTCACCTCGATGCGATCGATGCGGTCCGATGTCGGGCTCACGCGGCTCGATCCGGTTCGATGTCGATCGCCCGACGCTCTGGTGTGGCCCAATGTTAGCGTGGCGCTGTTGTGCAGCCTGGCTCGGCCGGTCCGGTGCGAATCCGACTTGGTCCCAGTGCGGCCCGATTCGATGTTTGTCCCAATTGGATCGGTTCGATGCTGACCGCTCCTGGCACTGGTCAGCGCGCTTGGATACGCCCCGCCCCAGCGCCGCCGCGCGCCAGAGCTCACCTTTGCCCAGGGGCACTCATAATTACGTGAAGACGAGACAGCGGGGGCGTCGATGGCGGCGACGGCGGCGACGGCGAGGTGCACAACGAGGAAGGAGGAACACGCTGGGAGCACGGGGAGCTGCGGCCATGGTGCACGCCGGCCTGCTGGCGTTCACTCCTGGGGAGAAGCGCCTGCTGTGGGTGGGTGCGTCGCCCCCGTGGGAGGCGTGAGCAGGCAGCCGCCTGGTGGTTTTCGAGAAAGGATGGGGGGGGCGAGCAGGTTCGGCGCCCAGGCCTACTGGGGCCAGGGTCGTTGGGGTCGGAGAATCGCGCCGCATCGCCGATGCATCGGCTATGTTGAGTCTGTGTCATTCGAGGAAGTGCGCAGCAACAGCCCCGCTTTGAAAAGGAGGCGCCTTGCATCCGTGCAGCTGGTGCCTGGCATGTAAATCGAACGCAGTCCCAGGCGAGAGCCTCATTTTGGAAGGGAGCTACCCTGCATCTATATAAGTGTTACGCGACTTGACAAGGTTGGTGATGTTTGATGGGGCGTACCCAGAGAGAGCCCCATTTTGAATAGGGGCCAGACTTTATCCGTGTAAGTGTTGGAAGTTTTGGAGACGCATGTAAGCGGTGACGGCGGGAGCCGCTATCCGCGCAAGTGGTTCAAATTCCGAGCTTCGGGGCAGTACATCGCCAGGCGTCTGAAGCGAAACGATCAGTCTGGCCTACCGACACGACTGGTGGTTTGGAGCTATATGAGGAAAATAAATTGATCAAGAATTTCCTCCAATTCCCGTCCTTCCTTCGCTTTTGTCCTCGTTTTCTACCATGGGTCCGAGATGTGTTATGCTCAATGCGCGGTCCCACGTCTTTTCCCTCCAGGGCAGTTTATCGTCCCGGATCGTTTTTGACCGTGCCTGTAAACAGACAAAGAGAACACGTCCTGAGTTTTTGTTCCTGAACGCTGGAGGTCGGGGATTTCCCCCTCAGAATCCCGATGCCGTCAGCACATGACAACATGGAGTTCTGGAGGTCTTGACCACTTCCCTGAGCCCTGTTTCTCGCCCCGAGCCGTTTTTTGACAGCCTCTGGGCACGGCCAATGCCCCGATAGGCCGGAACTGGCCAAGCATTGTCCGCCACGACCCTTTCGCCACGCGAGGATTCGATGAAAACGAAACGGGTTTAACACTCCTTGGCGGCGCTTCCGGCGCCGCCCTTGGCGCGCTCCGCGCGCCACGGCCCAGCGCCAGTCCAAGAGATCCGTGTGCCCCTTCGGAATTTCAAGTAATGACATCTGCTCTTTTGTCCAAGGATGTTAATCCAAAGCGCGCAGTTATCCACAGCCACCGCCATGGGGATCGATCTTCGGGGACTTCGGCAAGCAGCGGATATGGATATAGTGTAGCCCTTTTGGGGCCCGCTGGGGTCCCAGGCGCCAGGTTTGTTTCATTCATTCAGGTACCGCTGTCTCAGTCTCTTTCGTTTTTTTGTTGTTCTCTCGCTCTCTTTCTTTATTTATTCCTTTTTTTATGTCTCTCTCTCTCTCTCTTTCTCTCTCTCTATATATATGTATGTATCGTTATCTTTCTCTCTCTCTCTCTCCCCTTCTATGTATGTATACGGTGTGTTGTCTTGGAGACGGGGGCTGTTGACTACAGGGTGTTGTCTTGGAGACGGGGACTGTTGAGTACAGTGTGGTGCATGCTACTCGGAAGGCGGGCGTGCGGCGGGCGGGCGGGCGGGTCGGGATTTCAAAAGGCTCCTAAAGGATTACCTCTTGCAGCGGGGGCCTGTTGAGTACTGGGTGTTGTCTTGGAGACGGAGGCTGTTGACTACAGAGTGTTGTCTTGGAGACGGAGGCTGTTGAGTACTGGGTGGCGCGTGCTACTCGGAAGGCGGGCGGGCGGGCGGGCGGGCGGCGGGTTTGCGGATTGGGATTTGAATCGATGATTTACGGGTTTCTTCTTGAAGCGGGAGCTTGTTGAGTATACGAAAACGTGGATAGTAAGAAGCTTGCGTGGGGGGATATTGAATGGACTTTACCCATATTCACATTTCGAAGACGCCTACGGCGAATCACCGCCGCCCCCTGGCTTTTGGTGAAGCGCCTTTGTGGCCAATCGTTGGGCCCCAGGTTGGCCAAGCCATTGGATTATGTGTTCCCCCAGCCGCTCTAG